TACTTGGCGGTTTTTCACGTATCGTGGGGCTTCAGGGTACGGATTCCCCACGATAAATGAGGGACGACTGTAGTTTGGAATTTTTGTTGTAAATCATAGTTTGTGTTTATTACCATGATTAGTAAAACAATATGTGCAACTTCTTCACAAAAAACAAGAATAAATAAGAATTGGCATCACTAAAACACAACATGAGAGGAAAAATGAAACGACCCTGAGTTGAACCCAGGGAACGATCGGTGAGTCTGACCTTTGACCTCCTGATATTACGCTTGGTTCATCAAAGCCTCTCTGCTCAACCTTTCAACATTCAGGCCGCTGCTGGGAGGAAACATTTGACCTTTGACTGTCCTGACTGAAGCACATCCCAGAGGGAGCAGCGAGAGGAGCTGCAGCCTGAGCACGACAGCGTCACCAACGTTAACATTTTCTCCACAGGAAATGGCTCCGAGTCTCTTTGGTCTGGTCGGGAGCAGAAAAACACTTTCCTGTTGACAGAACGGCGCCAAATCCAGGCAGGCAATTTTCTCACCACCGTGGTAATTAAAGCACTTTGGCAACGCACCAGGTTGTTATAAATATGAGGGGAAAGGTTTCAACCAGTCCATCTGATTCCAGAGCTGAAACGTTTGAACACGATCAAATGTTCAAAACAAACCGTTAGCAGTCACTTTTGTTGCTTTTGGACTTAAATGTGGATCATAAAAAGCAGAAGTGAGAAAATAAATTTTATTAGGTTTATTTTAAAAAAGTGAATATGAAAAAAAGCATTTTAGTTATTTTTATATTCATTTGACTACGTTTCTGTACATGCAGGGTCTTACAAACAGTCAGGGTTGAACTAGGACATATGAAAGGGTGTACAAGTTTGTGCACCCCCGGGTTCAAACGGGTAATTAAAAAAAAATCTGAGCTGTTTTTGAGATATTCCAGCTTAATAAAAACCCATTTGTTTTATATTCTCAGCCAAGTCTGAGAACAGTCATAAAAGTCTGATCAGAAGTTTGCTTAATGTCCCTCAATACATAAACACGTTTTATTTTCTCCCATTCTTCCCATTTAAAGGCTTGTTATGTAATTAATGTTATCTGTCTGGCCCGCTGCCTCTTTGTGGCGTACGCCAAACATTTACACTGAGGAAGCAGGACAATGTTTTCAGGATGTGCATCTTGATGTATCGAAATTGATCATTTTGATCAAGAAAACAGAACCTCCCTTTTGTTCATCTTTACTTATTTATTAATTTTTAATTGTTTGAGCATTTCCTTCAGTGAATAGTTCACTGAGGCGCTGAACGCAACAAAGAAGAAAATATCACGGATTCATTCCAATTTTAAATGACCGCCATAATTCATTTGACTATTTACTGGGGATGAACGATATTGTCTGCATAGTATCGGTATCGGCCGATATTAGCGATAAAGTTAAATATCGGACATTGGTCATTCCATCAAAACAACTCACCGATATAAAAGGCGCTGTTATTTCAGTTATGTATATATATATATATATATATATATATATATATATATATATATATATTCAATTCAATTCAATTCAATTCAATAATACTTTATTAATCCCAAAGGAAAATTATTTTGTTGTTGTAACTCGTTATCCTCATTTCATTAAGAGATGTTAAAGATGCTGATGGCTCTTGAAAAGGTCCATCCCTCAGTGGATCCTAAGAAACTGGCTGCAGATGCCGTCCGATCCGTCCACCCAGACTCGGCTGGCTTCTCGATTCCCCTGGACTGTAGGACCGCCTGAATGCAGAGCAGAACTCCTCCCAGAGCGATGGCCACGCCTCCCAGCAGTCTGCCGAGCTCCTCATCACTGCGGACAGCCAACTGTAGGTGCTGAGGGACGATCCTGTCCTTCCGCTGTCATGAGCCGTGTTTCCTGCTAGTTCCAGGATCTCAGTGGTCAGGCACTCTAGCACAGCTGGCAGGTAGATGAGAATGCGTCCACATAACATCCTTTTCAACTCATTTGAGAGTTGGGACCATAGTTGAGATATTATTTGAGCTTTTGAGATGTTAATCAACTGCTGTTGTTGTAGAAAACTGCCTTGTTGCCATGGTTACGCATCATAACAAATGTCCAAAACCAAAAAAGTCTCAGTAAAAATCCTTCCAGCTGCACAGCGTCCGATACATTTATATATATATATATATGGTGTAGAGGCAGGGCAGCCGGCTTGGGACCCGAGAGTCCCAGGTTCGATCCCCAGTCACTGCACATCACGTGGCGTCTCTGGGCAGCACGTCTAATCCCCAAAATGTCCCCCGGGCGCTTTCAATAGCTGCCCACTGCACCACCTGGTGGTGGATGGGTTAAATGCAGAGACTAATTTCGCCATTGTATGGAAACATACAGTGCTGACATTGTGATGACATTATTATTATTATT